AGGCCATTTTGCACCCAGCAGGATTTGCGCCAGGGCTGGGGCTGGGGTCACCCTTCCCCGAGCACATGGTGGGGGGCACGGGAGCACTCGGGGTTCCCAGCAAGGAGGAGGGGATGACAAAGGCCATTTTGCACCCAGCAGGATTTGCGCCAGGGCTGGGGCTGGGGTCACCCTTCCCCGAGCACGTGGTGGAGGGCATGGGAGCACTCGGGGTTCCCACCGCACGTGGGGAGCGTGGCCGGCAGAGCCGCCGCAGCTGCCTGTTCTACGGAGCACAACGCCCATCAGGGGCACAAGGGGCTCAAAATCCAGTCCACAGACTGACGTGCAGGAACTGCCAGTGTCTGTCTCAGGCTCCGTCCCGCCAAGTGACAGCTCAGCTTTAGATGATTCCGGAAATCAGCACCCCCATGTCCATCCTTTCCCCAGAGCTGAGTCCGGGTTCCAGGCCGTATGTGGCTCTGGAGTCTCCAGGAGGGGTCGGATGCTGGCTCCGCAGCCCAGGCTGTGCACACCGGCCGGGTCCTGCCTCCCTCCAGGTGCCCTGCCTCCCCAGAGAGACCTACGGAGGGCAGGGGGCTGGGAAGGAGGAAACCTTCCCCGCGCAGCTCACGTGCACCCTGGCGCCGTGCCAGCAGCGAGCTGGCCGCTGGGGACTGGGGAACCTCGACTTGTCTCCCGCATGGCACCTGCGGGCTGCCTTTCCAGAGGGAAGCACCTGGCCCAAGCCCCGTCCCACCTGGGGGAGGGCAGCCTTCCTTCTCAGCCCCCAGGGCGTCTCAGCCCCAGTAGAGGAAGGAGGAAATGCCTGTCACTGGAGAGGGTCCGCCCCACACACGGATGCACTGAAAGGCTGAGATTTATTGTAAGACCATGGAACAGCCCCCTCCCCACACGATGCCACCACAGCAAGGACAGAGGACAGCAGCAGTCGATTACGGCTGAGACAGCCACAAGGTGCAGACGCTGCAAAGAGGACTTCAAGGAAAGTCCAAAGTCAAGAATAAAGATGCCAGGCCGGGCGCAGCGGCTCACGCCTGTCATCCTAGCACTCTGGGAGGCCGAGACAGGTGGATTGCTCGAGGTCAAGAGTTCAAAACCAGCCTGAGCAAGACCTTGTCTCTACTAAAAATAGAAAGAAATTAATTGACCAACTAAAAATATGCATATACAAAAAATTAGCCGGGCATGGTGGCTCAGGCCTGTCCCAGCTACTCGGCAGGCTGAGGCAGCAGGATTGCTTGAGCCCAGGAGTTTGAGGTTGCTGTGAGCGAGGCTGATGCCACGGCACTCGCTCTAGCCTGAGCAACAAAGTGAGACTCTGTCTCAAAAAAAAAAAAAAGAAAAGAATAAGACAAAAACAAGGGCACCGGAGGAACCCGAAGCCTCTGGCACCTACAGCTACAGCAAACGTTAAACCCAGCCCAACTCGGGGCCTGATCGACGTAAATCCTCACGTTAAAGCCCAGCTTACCTCGGTTCCTAATGCCAAATGCAGACGCGTCCAGCTTGTAACAGCAGCGAAAACCACAAGGCAGGAAAAGGCAAAGGAGCCGCAGAGCCAGATGCACATACGACACAGATGTTGAAATTATCCCACAGGGGATTTGAAATGACGGTGATTAATGTCTTAAGAGCCACAGTGGAACAAGTGGACGACTGGCGGGAGCAGATGGGCAGTGTGAGCAGAGGGACGTACGGTCTAAGAAGGAGTCACAGGGAAACGCTAGAAGTCAGACACCCTCTAACGAAGACGCAGCCTGCCCCTGAGAGCTCGTCGGTAGACAAAGGGCAGCTGGGGAGAGAATCACAGGTTGACGGAAACTCCCCATCAATGCAGAGAGAAAAAAGAAGAAAAATGCAACATCGCAGACCTGTGGGGCAGCTATAAGGGATGTAACTATACGTGCAATTGAAATCTCAGGAAAAGGAAAGAGGAGAAGGTGTCAGAAGAAACATATGAAATAGTAACTGGGAACTTTCCAAGGCTGGGAACTTCCCAAGATTGATAACAGACACCAAAGCCCAGATCCAGGAAGCTTGGAGAACCCCAGACAGGATAAACACACACACACAAAAAAAAAGGGAGAGACAACCTAGGCATTTCCTAGTAAAATTGCACAGACCAAAGATGAAGAAAATCTTGAAGTGAGCCAGAGGAAAGAGACTCCTCTCCTAGAGACAGCGAGACTGGGAAGCACAGCAGACTTCTCACCATGAACGGTGCAGGCAAAGACAGTCAGTGGAGTGAGACATTCAAATTATTGGAAAAAAAAAAAAAAAAACCACCAATGCAAAATTCATATCATATCCAGCAAAGTTAATCCTTCAAAGGTGAAGGAGAATAAAGACTCTCTCGGACAAACGAAACTGGAGGGAATCTGGAGCCAGCCGACCTTCCCAGGAAGAAATGTTAGAAGATTTCTTCAGAGATGAGGAAAATGACACAATCAGGACATGAACTTAGAGCTACAGAAAGGATGGAAGAGCAGCAGAGAGGAAGTAAATGAACGTGAAATGAAACCTTTTCATTTCTCTTAACTGATCAGAAGTAACTGTTTAAATCCATCGGGGTCCACGCTGTGGCCAGGGGGACGTATCCACGGAGACACAGACATCAGGTTGGTAACGGGACCGATATGTGGCCGAGTCTCACTTTTCCACGTACGTAGAGAGGATCCTAGTTGCTGGTGCTAGAAGGCCCCGGATTTTGCTAATAACAAAGGCTGAACTCCCCCTGCCTCCCGTCATGGAAACTGCACGTTCGCTGTCCATGGCTGGAAAAGCACGGCCAGCCAGTCTGCCGCTGCGAGCGCGGCGCTGCCTGTACGCGAACCTCTTGTCGATTACAGCAGAGTCCGTGCTTGCGAAGACGGGCACGGAGATGTAGGAGATACACTGTCCAATCCGTAGACAATGCCTAGGGTGTGCACTGATTCGCAGATACGCTACTTTGTAATAATGCAGCTTTTTGTCACCTGCCAGGGGCCGGGCACCCCGGTTTCATGCCACGGAGGTCTGCGTGGAGTTGCTCCCGCCCAACCTGCTCTCTCCTCCCATCACCGTGTTCCAGAAAGTTGGCTCAGCAACCACCGTAGCCACGGGAACCTCCTCTAAGATTCAGGACAATGATCCTGATCTCCAAAGTAAACTCATGGATAAGAAAAAAGCATCTGGCACTGCGGAAGGTTTGCCACAGAGAGAACGTCAGCGAAAGAGGAACATGTTCTCCTGGGCGAGATTCTCCACCCAAGGAAGTGAAACCCACAGTGCGGCCGTTCTGTCCACGGGGCACGGGGACACACCGCGTCACGTAAAGCGGCAGCCGTCTGCATAAAATGTGCTTTGCGATAAAACACCATGGCACACTAAATAGAACTGAGGCACTAAATAGAACTTAAGCTCTTAAGAACTTAAGAGCTTGTCCCCGAGCAGGAGGAGACATGTCCCCATGTATTCAGGGCGTTCAGCCATCCCCCTAAGAAAAAGCGAAGGGGCCGGGCGCGGCGGCTCACGCCTGTAATCCTAGCTCTCTGGGAGGCCGAGGCGGGAGGATTGCTTCAGCTCAGGAGTTCGAGACCAGCTGAGCAAGAGCGAGACCCTGTCTCTACTAAAAATAGAAACAAATTAGCCAAACAACTAAAAATAGAAAAAAAATGAGCTGGCACAGTGGCGCATGCCCTGTAGTCCAGCTACTCGGAGGCTGAGGCAGAGGATGCTCGAGCCCAGGAGTTGGAGGTTGCTGTGAGTTAGGCTCATGCCACGGCACTCACTCTAGCCCAGGCAACACAGTGAGACCTATCAAAAAAAAAAAGAGAAGAAAGAAAGAAAGCAAAGCAAGAGAAAGACATAAGAAACCATTCTAGTAGACAATCAAGGATATTCAAATTATAAGTTTCACACATATGAAATTGGTAATAAAAATACCAGCAACACTCTTTGCTGGTAAAAACTTTTGAGAAACAAGAATATCAGTGAGAACTGACCCAGGAACCATTTTGGTAAACAATCTGGCAAAATGTCTTGAGAGCCACGGAATTGTTTACTTTCTGTTGCAAAAGGCAGTTTTAAAATTTTAACCTGGAAAATCATCAATGTAGGAAAAAATATATATAAGGAAAAAAGCCATAAGCTCACAGACATCCACGTGCATCCATCTGCTGTTATATGTTAAGGTAGGTATAAAATATATTAAAATATACATATAAAAGATACTGTGTAATATGTATATAAATTATTCATATATAAATGACATATATTGTACTGATAAATATGTCTATATATATATATATGTGTATGTAGATATATTTTATATATATTTATATATAATATATATTTATATATGTATATACTTTTATATATGTATAAAAGATACTATGTAATATGTATATAATAAAGATATATAAATAACATATATGTGCTGAAAATGTATAGATGTTGATATATTTAATATAACACGGGAGCATAATCTAATTGTAAAATAACGCAAGGGTTTTGGTAAAACACGGCATGTACTTGAGCATTTTGGGCACGTCACACTGTCCCTGTGAACAGTCCCCGGCGCCGTGGAAGGCGGTCTGCGGGAACGCGCTGAGTCTGAAAGCGGCTGCACAGCAGAGACGCCGCAGGGCCGTGGACGTGAGGCCTCCCGCCTGCAGGAGGGACAGGCAGCGAGCGAAGGGGCCTGGAGGGTGGCGTCCCTGGTCCAGGCGGCCGCGGCGAGGTCCCCCAGGCAGGCAACGGGCTGTGCCGAGCCCGCCCCGCGCCTGCCGTCTGCCCGGGTTCCTGTTCGCGCCCCGTCTCCGGGGACGAAGGCTCCAGAATGGGCATCCCCAGGGTGGGGCTCGCTGGGTACACAGCAGGTGCCGAATACATGCCTGCTGAGTGAGCCCCAGCTAGGGCTCTGCTCACGCGTTTCTCTGCAGACGCGCGCTGAGAGACCCGGTCCCGCGGACGCGTGCTGAGAGACCGGGTCCCGCCCTCGCTCCACGGGCAACAGGTTTTAAAGACCACACTTTATTTTAAGGACAATAAGATTTTATTTCATAAAACCGCAACATATTTTCACTACAAAGTGGCATTCATCACCCTTCGTGTACTACACACTACTTTCACACACGACTCTTCCCGATTTCTTATTTGGGGCCAAATTACGTGCAGATAATAAAGTACTACGGAAGCCAAAATACACAGCCTATAAATAAAGTGCCGACTCGCATTCACTGGAAACGAAGGGCTCAGACGGGTTTTGTTCGTTGCTTCTCTGACATATTATCTAGGGGGAGAGAGGGAGGTGACGGTGACACACACGGAGGTCCGTCTGGAACACAGACCCCGAGTGGACTCGCCTCGGCAGAAACTGCACCAGGAAGGAACCCGCGTGTACGCCGCAGGAATACAGTGTTCTCGCTTCTCGGGGGCGTGACGGGGGTCTGAGTCCCCGTGACCTGGCGTGTGGGGCCGAGGGCGAACCCGGAGCGGTGGCCACGCGCAGGCTAAGCACACAGGGACGCCTCAGTGAACTTGCGGGCGCTGCGGTGGCCCGGGACACACAGCCCGGCCACGGGGCAGGGCCACGACTCGTGGGACCCGACCCGCCCAGGCGAGCTGCCCACGTCCCCACCATGGCGGGGTGGGGGGCCTGCGGACGGCTGTCACACTTGGGGGTCGGGGCTGAGCCGGGGGCCACAGAGCTCGTGGAAAACTCGCTCCGAAAGGAAGCAGCCACGTGGGGGGAGGGGCCTACGGACATCACGGTCACAGTTTTAAAGATTTTCCAGCATCAAAAACAGGTCTGAGTGTCCTATCTGCACCTTGCACAAACACGGCTGGTGCGGTGGTCACAGTATGCTCACGGCGTCTCCCAACACTCCCGCGGGGCCTTTATTCACATCTCTGCGCCCAGACCCTCGGGTTCCACGGGGCCCGGCCCACCAGAGCTGCGGCAGTCACCCCGCGTGCTGGGGGCCGAGTCCGAGTCCATACGTCGACATCCACACAGAAGGCTCAGCGTCGTCACCTCCCTCCCCATCCGTGGGGACTCGGGGCGGCCCTGCCACGTGGGACCCAAGTGGCCTCGACCGCGGCCCGGTCTGCCTTTGCAGCCACATGAAACAGCCACCGCGCTGCCACTACATGCTCTGCTCACTGGGAACGAGAAAGACACCCACCCCAGGGGAAGGGAAGACTTGGAACCCGAGAGATAAAGACACAGGAAGAGGCCCTGGCGGGAGGCCGCCTGGGCTGCAAGCAGCAGGGCAGCTGTGCTGGGACGGAGGGACCCTCCACTCCAGGTGGCCTTGGGCCCCAGTCAAAACTCATGAGGGGGAGCTGAGAAGCCCCCAAGGCAGTGGCATCCCCAGGTGGCCTCGGAGCCCAGGCTGCCGGCCGGGGTCCCCCCGGTTCCTCACACAGGTGCTGGTCACGCCATGTCACACCCATGGGGACCGCCAGTGACTGTGGCCTGCAGCTCTCCCTGACCCCGGTCATGCCCCAGCTGGCACCCGGTACCAAGGCCGGCCCACATAGCCGCGTCCCCGTGGACAGACACGCTCGTCCCTGGCACCGGCTTCTTGTTGGGTCAACCCTGCAGATTGGGAGGCTCCTCCCCACTTGCCCCACTCGCCCCCAGCTGCCTGCACCTGGCCCTCCAGGGGACCCTGCCTGGGGACCTTAACCACCTCTGTGGCCCCCAGTCCCCACGAAGGGGCTGAGGCAGAGCTTCCCCTCCCAGAGCTCGTGCCCCGCTGGGTCCCGGGGAGGCTCACACACAGCGTCACGCGGCCACTGCACAGCCCGGGACCCCAGAGGGCAGTCACTGCAGTCTCACAGCCCGAGGGGGGGGGCCACGCTGCCCACGCTGGCCTGGGCCGGCTCACACGGAGGTGCAGGTGAGGACGCCGGCTCGGGGCCACCACCCCGCGTCCAGACAGCAGTGAGGAGAGGGGGCGGGGGGAGGCGGGTGCGGTTTTGTCCTGCCAGGGAGGGGCCGTGCGAGTGGCAGGCCTGGCTGGTGCTTGGCCCTCGGCTCACACCGCGGACAGGTCCACGCGGTGGGCGGAGTGGCTGCTCTTGTCCCAGGGGCTGAGCTTGGTGGAGGCCATGCCCGGCCGGGTCCCGTTCACCTGCGGAGTACAGAGGGGTGAGGAGTGGAGACCCCGCCCCAGGAGGAAAACTCGAACCCCACGTAAGTGCAGAGAGCTCTGGGCCTGAGGTAAGGGGGGGTCCCCCCGTTGGGGCAAAGCGCAAACTGGG